GAGAGAGAGAGAGAGAGAGAGAGAGAGAAACACATAATCTCTTGCAATTCAGATTTATTATGTTTATTTTTTTTTAAAGTAGGTAGCATAAAATCTTTGTTAAACTAAATTTAACTTGAAACATAAACGCATTTTCACATAACTGAATATTGTTATAAGTAATCTCTTTTATTTATTTAACGTCAGTATCATCTTTTTTTTTATAAAAGTGAGTTTAGAAATTTACGTGTGCAAAATATTTTTAATTACAATATCTATCTAAAACAGAGGAAAATAATTTACACGGAATGATGTACCGTTTATGGAAATAAGAAAAGTTAATGTCGTTAAAGTGCACCATTCCAGACCTTAGGAGGTGTCGGAAATCTCGAGGAAAATTTCCTCGAGGCTCTTTGACACTTTTTAACACGGAGAAAAGCTCGAAGACATTAATATGGATATATCGCGCTAATACCCGGACAAGTAATACCCACGTGTATGTCATGAAATTTACATGAGGATGTGACTTAAAGTCTTGCGATCCAGTCAGGAACACGAAGTGAAAAGTTAACAGCGTTAAAACTGCTGCTATCAACGTGCCAATTAAGTCTCATAAATCTGAGACCCTCCGGCTGGACCGTAATGGACATTTTTCAGTCACTTTGAAACAATGTATAAACTTATCAACATATTCAGAGACAGTTTTCCGTAATCTGCACATCGTCTTATCCGCTTTTTCTCAAAGCTTTTTAAATTTTACGGAAAATTATGCCTTTTTCGTCAAAAAATAATAACACCATTTAATATTTTGGCTATTTATTATTAATTTTATTATTTATATATGTTTTAAAATTAAAGCTCGTATAATTTTTAATTAATTGATTTTTCAGACACTAGGAACATAGCTTCAGTAATATAATTGATTTGAGATTAAGATCAATATCCATGATCGATTTCTTGTAAAAGTGATAAAAAAATATCGCGCGTTATGTATCTCATTTTATTATACAATATGTTCACGAAATATTTTTCATGTCAGTCAAGTCGTTAAATAGTTACGGGGTCAACAGATGTAGGACAGAGACAGAACGCGAATAAATGTGTATATCGGCTATCTGTAATCGATCGGTCCTTTAACGTTCGCTTCGATGAATTAGAGTTACTAACGCAATGAGACAGCGCAACATCGATGCTCAACTTACTTTACAATTCGCTTTTAGCAGCTGCCGTTAGAAGCGGATACATTCGTACGATTGAGACCCGAGGCGAATGTATATGTATATACACGATAAAAGACCTGAAATTAACGATCCTTTAAAACGCTCGTAAAATTCGACCAGATAAGAATCCACCTTCCACTTGCTCCGGCGTATCCGCGCCGTATCGTCCGTTATATACGCACGACACACACTCGCGACACACACAAATTACTCCCACACGCAGCCGCAAAAATAACGTAACCTGCTTTCATTCGCTAACCGTTGTCGGTGAACGAGACGCGCGCTATTTTTCTTTTTCATATACCCTTTTCATTTTTGTCGTATCATACTTTTCGCTTATGGAGTGAATTCTACGTATGATTAAAGTAATGAAAATTACATATAGATCTGGGAATAAAAGTGAATTTTCTAGAAAAGAGCAATGAGAAGAAATAGAAAATTCTATATATCGAACAACAATAGTCATTCATTACAAAATTTCTTCTTTGGTGTCTAAAATACTTTTCATTTCTGTACAATATTGATTCGATATCTTTCGCAATGGAGGAAATGGATACAAAAAATTTGTTCAACAATTCCATTTTTCAATATTATACATATATTTACATTTTCCTATTTTAGTCTACAAATAATGATAACAATAGTCATTGATAACAATAGTTACACTGAACAACAGTAGTCATTCATGAACGTCCAAAAGCTTCATTTTTGACGTTCGAAATACTTACTTTTTATTTCTGCCAGAATTAATAAAATACTTGTATTTCTGATATTGATTCGATATTTCTCACAACGAAGGGAACAAATACAAGAAATTTTCTAACAATTTCATTTTTCTATATTACTCTACAAATAACATTAATTATCTCCGCAAACTATCTGACAATGACACCATATCTCAAATACCTAACAATGGACAATTGTCTTCTTCCAAGCTCCCATGGTCAAGGATTGAACGATTATAATGCTGCATTTTCTCGTATGCTTTTTCCAGCAAGATGTACACACCCCGCTCGCTGGAATGCACTCTCCAAGGATCCTGGAATTATGTTACATTCGAAGTCAAAGTAAATAAATGTGACGTACATCGAGCTTCTTACGCGCGCAACGGCGGCGCCAACGGTATTGAATCGCTCATCGTGCGACACGACGAATACTATCGTACAGAAAGCGTATCGTCGGTCGTGTGTACCGGCAAAGTGAGCGTGGGCAAACACGTCAACGGGGGCGCGCTCGCGCGCGTACGTGCCCGGCACACGCACGCGGTAGACCTCATACCGTGTCCAATGCATATTCATACGGCCA